GCCCCCGCGGTCGCTCAGCCCGGCGCGACGGAGCAGGCCGCTGCCGCCGGCCGCCAGGCGCGCTTCCTCTCCTACTCGCGCCTCGCCGCCTCCGAGCACAACAAGATCGACAAGGACGACTCCGACGATGCCACGGACGCTGATCTCGACGCCGAGAACGAGACGGACGGAGACAAGGTAACCAGCGCAATTTCATTCCTGAATTAACTGTCCTTTAAAATATTAAATCACTTTCAATTCAGTGAAGTTATACTTGACAAAAATCTACATGTCCCAATTTTTCATACCATTAATTTTTATTATCAAACAGTACCGTTTCAAGAAAATTTAAAAAAGTGATGTATTTTCTTCCACAAAAAAAAGTTAACTTTTTTTTGCTCTACGATTTCAATGACTGCACAGTTTCATTTGTCTGCTTCATCATTTGCGTAGGTCATCCTTGGTCCTTTATCCACTTAAGTTCAATTTTCTCATCAATTTTACTAAGCCACAATCTTTAATTATATTTTTTTGCCCCATGTACTAGTTGCTTTTCTAAACATTCTATCACTAAATTTTGTAAATTTGGGTTTTTTGTTACATTAATGTAGTTTATAGTGTATGTGAACTCTCATTTGTTGCATTTCGATATAAACAATAAAACTTCTTAAAAGATCAAAAGTGACCTTGATTTCTTTATCTTATAAAGTGTTCAAAAATTAAGAATTTCTTGAAGGTTTAGTAGCAAAACTCAGTAAAATTTGTTTTTCAGTGATATAAAGAGAAATATATTTGCATATCATCTTCTTAATTTTTTCCAAACACTAGTGTACACGTTGCGTTTGCATATACCTTTTAGGAAAAAATTAACATTGAGTCCTGTGTTCATTTACGAAGTTGTATTTATCGATGGTGTTAGGTTGAATTCTTCTAGTAATTTAATACAGTTTACCTCAATAGGAGATCATAAAATTCATGTTATTATGTTTATTTTTTTAAAATTTCATTTCTTGAACTATTTGTTTAGAGGTCATCTATATTTGTTTCATTTTTAAAAAAACTTGCAGAATTGAAAATTACCTTAATAATTAAATCATGAGAAAATTAGTTCAATAAAACTTGATAAATTGTGTTAAAAAGTAATGAACATCTTGAAATACGGTGTAATGCCCTTTAATGAGACGAAGAGGTCGTATCTGAGTTTTACATTAATTTATCGCTTTTTGATGTAACAAGAAACGGTCATTTGCATTGACTTTTAAATGCTTATTTTAGAAACATTGTTTAGAACCGTATTTTATCAACTGCAGCGCATACGTGTCTGCAGCAATCGCTACGCGAATGCCATGTATGCCTGTTGGAGTGAGGGTATAAGTGTGAGGAGGTAGAGTGATCGGCGTGTGTCCGGAAGTAGAGGATCCTGCCGTCCAGGTTGTACGAGGTCACGGTCCAGTAGGTCACGCATCAGGGTCAAGGAGAGCGCCTGTCTTCCCGTCATGGACTTCGTAGGTGAAGAGGACGGCGGGGGGGGGGGGCAACCTACTCGTTTTATTTTTCATTTCTGATTCATCGCGTGTTTCTCGTACGTTTTGATTACTTCCATACACGTTTAGAATTTCAAGTGAACACACTATTGTTTAATTAAAACGTAATTAGTGACGTTTGTGAATAATTGGAAAGGAGATCATTCAGTATGATAATATAGCTTGATGTGTTATTTTGGTATACGTTGAAATCTGTATTTCTTTTACATATTATTTAAGATCAATTCAATAATGCGTGTGCATATTTCATAGATTTTATTTGAGCAAAAAAATTTAATTTGTCATACTGGTGAATACCAAGAGAGATCTTAGAATAGAAGGAAGGTATAGTGACAGCGTTTGTTTACAATAATGTGTAAATCAATTTCACTTCCAGTAAGTCGTGTGAGTCAACGTTGTTAATTGGAGACGTTTACACGATAAACATTCGTCAGAAGTTAAAAATTTGAATGCCCACTAGTAAAATTATAACATAATACTTTTTAGTTTGAATTAAAAGGGAAATATTTAAATTCCCCAAAAAGCAAAATAGTGAAGAAATGTAATACGTATAATAAGTGAATTTTACTTTAAAACGGAAATACTTTATCTTTATCCTAATAGGAAATTATTTGTCACTTAAAAATAGTTCAAATACAAGCGAGAAAGCAAATCTTTTTTTTTTCATTTTTTGTGGAACTATCTGATGCAAGGATATTTAAGAAATGTACAATCACTTGATTCCATTTTCAAATAATTATTTGCTCAAGTTTCTTGAAGACAACAAACAAGTCATAATTAACATATGCATTTTTTACAAAATTTAAAATGTAAGATACTACATATTTTAAAATTATAAAAAGCTTGTTTCTCATTTTGGGAATTTAGAATTAAACATTCGTACAGAAGGTTGATTTTGAACATCGTCTTAGATATTAATTTATGTTAGATATACAGCTTAATTAAAATCTAGTATAATTGGTATCAAATACAGAATTTTCACTACTTCTCTGAGCTTCATTGGATATGAAAGAGAATGATCCAAGTGTAAAAGTTTAGACACTCATTGCTTATGAAAAACTATTATTTTACGCTGTCTCGACGTGGGGACTGGTAGCAGGTGTACAGAGCGAAGGGAGCCAACGGCAGTAGGTTTGAACAGATCGAAAGACGTATTTGTCATTGTTGGTTGTCATGACATTCAAAATATTTTTGTCATTATTATCCGACCACCATATTCTACCATCATAGTGCCAGTTGAAGGCATTAGCAAACCACCACTCTGAGCATCTATCCAGGAAATATCTAGTCTCACGAAGAACGTTTGTCATCACTCCACACATATTGCTCTCACTTCCATATCTTTCAAGAGAGATTCCACCTATAGGTAAGAAATATCCGCATTACTTTAATAAAATGTACTTTAAAGTAATTATCATGAACGTACATTACAATTAATGTACACATGTACATTAGTATGCAAGGGTCAAAGCTTTATGGTCATATCTAGAAGGAATGAATGATTGATCTTGTTGGACAGGTGGTTATGAATACACGATATGAATGACGATAGGCAGGGAGAACAGGAGAACCTTCACATTCAATCTACACTATTAAATTTAATGTACTAACATGTTAAGCTCTTTTTAGTGTACAAAGTTACATTGAGTTTCATGTACAGTACATTAATCTACATTAAATGTGTGTACATCGAACTACAAAATTGCTTCCCAATCGCGCCCACTAAGTGTATGTGTGTGTGTGTGTGTTTGCGTGCGCAGGGCACCGACCCGACGTCCGCGCTGTCGGGCATGTACTCGGACTGCCTGATGCAGCTGTCGTTCAGCTGCGTGCAGAAGAAGGTGCTGGTGTTCCTGGACCGCCTGGGCCGCCTGGACAAGTTCCTGGTGCTGGGCGACTTCCTGTCGGTGGTGCGCCTCAACAAGGAACGCGCGGCGCTGCAGGTGGCGCCCGGCGCGGCCGCGCTCGCCGGCGACGCCTCTCCGCTCACGGAGCGCGCGCTCGACGCGCGCCTGCAGGCCTCGCAGGTACCTGCCGCTTTTTAGTGTTAGCGTCCAAGTTGTACCTTAGGGGCGACTAATAAATGTATAGAGAAAAGTTTTAGTAAGTAGGAGAGACAGAGAGATAAATAGAGAAGAGGGAAGGAAAGAGAGAAGAGGGAACGGGAGGAGGAGAAAGGAGAGGAAGAGAGTGAGAAGGGAGAGGGAGCGAGAATAAGAGGGGCAGAGGGAGAGAGAATGATAGTGGGGAGGGAGAGGGGAGAGGGGGAGAGGAGGGGGAGGGAGAAGAGAAAGAGGGGGAAAGGGAGAGAGAAGAGAAAGAGAGGGGGAACGGGAGGGAGTAGGAAAGAGAGAGCGAGGGACGGAGAGAGAGAGAGAGAGAGACAGACAGAGAGAGAGACAGACAGACAGACAGAGAGAGAGAGAGAGAGAGAGAGAGAGAGAAATGAGTTTACGTTATACAAACAAAACAAACCCGTTGGCTTTTTTTAACGTTTTGGCTTTTTTAAAATCTTCCTTCTGACACAAACTTTAGAGCGTCAAAATTATTCATCTCTTATACAAACTTTAATTTGATTGTCATAGCGCTGAAGAAGGCTTAAAAGCCAACACGGTAACTATTTTTGCTTGGTATGACCTACACTAAGGATATTTCTTATTACTTAAATATCGAAGTCAGAAAAGCTACCATGTGAGAAAAATAGTAGTTTGTTTATCGGTCGTAAAGAGGTACTATTTCTAGAGACGTTGATAATATTCCG